ACTAAGGCGTTAAGGTTCAAGCTTGATTTTGGGCCTAAGCCAGCCTATACTAAAAGATAGGTTATTAGAGGACCAAACTTAGTTTCTGTTTCAGTTCTTAATGACCCAGATCCAAGGAAAGCCCAGGTTAAAACTCAAGCCCAAAATCAAACTCTCTCCTCTTCTTCATTTCAGCGTCGGACTGAGAAAGAAAAGCGGAGATGGCCGGTTGTTTCAGCTAACCGACAAGGTACTCGATGGACTCGTACTGAAAAACAGAAATGGGTAGTACGCTCTCCTTTTCCTTTTCCAGGTTTGACCCCTGTCTCTTATCATAAGAGCTCATCTTTTACCCCTTCTTTGAGTAAGGTGCTGGGAAATGGTGAAGGTGGAGTGGAGGATCGTTTGGATCAAAAGAGAGATTTTTCTAAAGCTATTATACCACGGGATGCAGAATCACCGTCTTCAATGTCCAAGTCCGAAAGTATTGATTTTTCCAACGGGGTGACAGTTTGTGTTGGTCGAGACCTTCATTTTAAACTAAAAGATGATTTAGCCGTGACTTTACTTAATGAACTCAAGCTCTGTGCTACTCTAAAAGGCTTAAATGGTCTACCCCCTATGACTGGGACCAATTCTACCCATGATTTAATGAAAAAATTTATGAATGACACTGGAACAGAATTGAATTTGCAATAAAACTTGTATCAGAACAGTGCTGAAAGCAAAGGGGAGGACTTTGATGATCAGTCTCAACAGATTTGTCCTCTTGCCTGGGATGTTGATCAATTTGATGTGGACATTATGGAACCCTTAGCAACTGTGCACCCTGATTGCTTAGAGACAGTTAACGATATGGGTATGGACTGGGTGTTGGATAATATTGACGAGGTCAGCAAAGCTTTGGGTGTCTCCTCAGAAGGAGATGATGATCGAACACAAATCATTCTTCATGATATTGTGGAAGGAAACAATAATGTAGAGACCTTTAAAAGCACAAAAGTTGTTAAAAATAAGAAACATGCACATCAGAAAGGTGATCAGGAGGTTAAGAACCTTATTTCCAATATCAATTACGAAGGGAAGGATGGGGTGAATAAATAAAGGGGAAGGACTAGAAGTGGGAAGCAGGGAGGAGGGGCACTAATTATCTTTGGTTCTCAATGAAGATACGAATTATTACATGTAACGTCCGTGGATTAAATGATCCGGACAAAAGAAAGGTGGTTAGAGTTGCTTTGAAGAAGTGGAATGCCCATGTTATTTGCTTGCAAGAAACCAAGTTGGCTTCTATTTTTGATGCCGTGGTTAGAAGCCTTTGGGGAAGTAGGTTCGTGGATTGGGAAGCTTTGAACACCTATGGTACATCAGGCGGTATTCTTATTATGTGGGATCGTAGATGGATGTCTAGAACGAATATCTGGAAAGGACTATTTTATTTGTCTTGCGTGTTTCAAATGGAAGATGATAACTTCAGTTGGGTATTTTCTGGAGTTTATGGACCTGTTATTGATTGTGTTAGACCTGCTTTTTGGCAAGAACTCAACTACATTAAGGATTTGTGGCCGCTGCCTTGGTGCTTAGGCGGGGATTTCAATTCTGTTCGGTCTCCATTTGAAAGATCCACAGAGGGGAGGTGGTCTTTAGAGACGACCCAGTTCTCTGACTTTATTGATGGTCACCTTCTTATTGACTTGCCTTTGGAAGGGGCAACTTTCACTTGGTCTAGTGGCAGAGACCCAGTTACTTTATCGAGGCTTGATAGATTCCTGATTTCTGGAGATTGGGAGGAGAAGTTTCCGGATGTCACTCAGTCAGCTTTGGTTAGAGTCATGTCTGATCATGTGCCCTTAGTTCTTGATTGTGGAGGCATGAGATCTAGACGGACTCCATTTCGTTTAAAAAATATGTGGTTGAGAGTTGAGGACTTCCAAAGGAAAGTCCAGTCCTGGTGGGAAGAAACAACGTTTACTGGCTCTAATAGCTATGTGCTTGCTAAGAAGTTTCAAACTCTCAAATTTGAGCTTAAGAAATCGAATAAAGAAGTGTTTGGGAATCTTGAATGGAAGAAAAATAGAGTCCTGGCTGATATCGTTGATCTTGATCATCTTGATGAGACAGGGCAAGATACGGATTCTCTTCACTCTAGAAGAGCATCTTGTCAGGCGACTTTTGTTGAGATTGTTACTATGGAGGAGATATCGTGGCGTCAGAAATCTCGGGCTTTGTGGCTTAAAGAAGGTGACCGTAATACTAAATTCTTTCACAAACTTGCTAACGCTTATAGAAGATATAATAATATCGGGCGTATTCGTGTGAATGGTTTAGAGCTGTGGAAAGAAGATGAGGTGCGTGAGGGTATTGTTTCTTTTTATCAGCAGCTCTATATTGAGACTTTGGAATAGAGACCAAAACTTGATGGTTTACACTTCAATGCTATTTGTACGCTGGATAGTGATATACTTGAGGTTCCTTTCTCTGAAGAGGAAGTTCTTAAGGCGTTATCCAGTTGTAATGGTAATAAAGCTCCAGGGCCAGATGATTTATTATGCAGTTTCTTAAAGAGAGTTGGGAGGTGGTGCGTAATGAGGTAATGGGCACTTTTCAGGAATTTCATTCTCATGGCACATTCGAGAAATCATTAAATGCATCTTTTATAGCTCTTATTCCTAAGAAGAGCAACGCCTCTGACATTAAGGACTTTTGGCCAATCAGTTTAGTGGGGTGTATGTATAAGCTTATTGCCAAGGTCCTTGTTCTTAGAATGCGGAATGTTTTGGATGGAATCATCTCAGAGTCGCAAAATGCTTTTGTTGGTGGTAGACAGATTTTAGATTCTGTTCTTATTGCAGGAGAATGTGTCGATTCCAGGTTGAAGAGTGAAGTTCCTGGTGTTTTATGCAAACTGGATATCGAGAAAGCTTATGATCACGTGAATTGGAAATTTCTTCTTTATTTGCTTTGGAGAATGGGGTTCGGAGATCAATGGATAAAATGGATTGAATCTTGCATCTCATCAGTTATGTTCTCTGTGCTTGTGAACGGCTCTCCTGTTGGTTTTTTTCCGAGTTCGCGTGGTTTGAGATAAGGAGATCCTTTGTCGTCTTTTCTTTTTCTTATTGTCATGGAGGGATTAAGTAAATTAATGAAAAAGGCAGAGAATCTGGGTTACATAAGGGGGTTCACTGTTGGTAGAGATGTTGCTAACCAGATCGAGATTTCCTATTTGTTGTTTGCAGATGATACCCTGGTTTTCTGTGATGCTGATGTTTCCCAACTCAGGTATTTGAGGTGCATTCTTACATGCTTCCAAGCAGTGTCTGGTCTTAAGATTAATGTTGGAAAGAGTGTGCTTGTCCCAGTGGGAGAGGTCTCTAATATTTCCACTTTAGCTGCTCTTCTTGGATGTGGTGTGGGTGCCTTTCCACTCCCTTATCTGGGCTTACCTTTGGGAATCTCCTCTAGGATAGTGGGGACTTTGGATTCGGTGATTAACAGGTATGAAAAAAGATGGGCGGGGTGGAAAAAATAGTATCTTTCAAAAGGGGAGAAGGTCACTCTTATTAAGAGTAGCCTCTCATCCCTTCCCACATATTTCTTATCTCTTTTTCAGATCTCGTGTTATGTTGCTGAACGTATTGAAAAAATTCAGAGAGATTTTCTTTGGGGTGGAAAATGAGAGGAGTTTAAGTATCATCTTGTTAATTGGGAGTAGGTTTGCAAACCGTTGAAGTTTGGCGGTTTAGGTATCCGGAAATTAGTCCCTTTCAATAGAGCCTTATTGGGGAAGTGGTTATGAAGATTCGGTAAAGAACGTCATCGACAATGGAGAAGAGTTATCTCGTGTCGTTTTGGGAAAGAGAGTGGAGGTTGGTCCTCTCGTCCTATTTCTATTACCAGGGGCGTTAGCCTTTGGAAGTTCATTCGGAAAGGTTGGGATGTGTTTTCCACCCATATTCGATTCAAAGTTCGTAATGGTATGTATGTTAGATTTTGGGAAGACTTATGGTGTGGTGATCAGTTGTTGTCTCTTTCTTTTCCTCGTCTCTTTAGCATTGCCGAGAATAAGCATGCTTATGTAATTGACTGTTATCATCTTGATAACAGTGGAGTTACGTGGGATGTGCGTTTTAGGCGTTCCTTTCAGGATTGGGAGATAGCTGAAGTTTGAGCCTTTCTGGACCTATTATATAGACAGAAAGATGTTGGCAGAGGTTGTGATGATATTTTGTGGACTCCCTCTTTTCATGGTAGATTCGAAGTTCGATCTATGTTCTTGTGTTTGTCTAATTTTATTGGATATGATTTCTCTTGGAAGTGTATTTGGCGCTTTAAAGCTCCTCTTAGAATTGCCTTCTTTGTTTGGACTGCTACTTGGGGAAAAATTCTAACTTTGGACAATCTGCGTAAGAGAGGTAATACCATTGTTAATTGGTGCTGTCTTTGTAAAAACGATGGTGAGTCCGTGGACCATCTTCTTATGCATTGTCCTGTTGCTTCTGATTGTTAGAATCTCATATTCAGTATTTTTGGCGTTCAGTGGGTAATGGCTAAGCACTCTTTCCAATTAATTAATGCTTGGAGAAGATGCCCTGTTTCTGGTCATGCTCATGATTTTTGGAGGGTCGCCCCACATTGTGTTTGGTGGTGTATTTGGAGAGAGAGAGAAATAAGAAACTTTGAAGGGAAGGAATCGTCTTTTGCAAACCTTAAGTCTTTTATCTTACGCTCTCTTTTCTGTTATGTCAGAGTCAGCGCTTGCTCCTCGACCGATGACTTTTTTGTTCTATTGGACTCTGTTGGTCCATAGGTTTGGCTTTTGCTCTTTCGTTTTTGTGTATTGGGGACGTGTTCCCCTTTTGAACGTTTTTCTAATACATTTTTACTTATAAAAAAAAAGGAATTTACTTGATATTTTTAAAAGGTAAGGGGAACCATGCATAATTTTGACTAAATAAAGGGACGGTTAATGTAATTTTGCCCGAAGCAAAAATGAAAGTGAGAGGAAAACAAGTTCGATGTTTGGTAAGTCCAAGACCCCTATTCCGAGTGAGAAATAATCTGAATCAGAGAGAGAGAGAGAGAGAGAGAGAGAGACGAAGAGAGATAAAATCTGAATCAAATGGAGGTGCAAGGATCATCGAAGAAGATGATTGCGACGCAGGCGGAGATGATGGAAGCGAAGGTCCCACTGGCTTACAGAGATCAGTGCGCCCACCTTCTGATACCGCTTAACAAGTGCAGGCACTCGGAGTTGTACCTTCCATGGAAGTGCGAGAACGAGCGTCACTCCTACGAGAAGTGCGAGTACGAGCTTGTCATGGAGAGGATGCTTCAGATGCAGAAGATCAGAGAACAGGAAGATAAGCTCAAGCAACCCCAGACACAAGGCATTCCTCTCATTCCCAAGACTGCCAACGCTTGAAGCGCCCAACCAACATTTAATAAATGCGTGGTCAGTAATTTCTATTTATTCGATCTTTCTTGTTTTTCACATTTCTGCTTGATTTTGTATAATGAGTGTGCTTTGTTTTATTTGTTTGTATTGCGCAAATAATTACTGTTTTTGTTGATAGAAATTTAGGATTTTGTTTGCGTAATTTGTTCTTTTTCCTTTTTCTTTTACAGGTTTAATATTTGATGGGTTTGAATTGATATTTGAAGAGTTTCTCGATCTTTGTTGCTCTTTTCACATGTCTATTTGATTTTCTGCAATATAATCTAGGGTTTTTTATGGACTTTTAGGAATTTTGGTTAGGTAGTTCTTATTTATTTATTTATTTATTTATTTATTATTATTATTATTATTTGATGGGTTTATTTGATACCATATTTGATTGGTTTACTATGCGGTTACATCATGAGCCCATCTTTTTGTCTTACTTATAAATGAACTGAAACATTTTCAGGATGAGGTTTCACGTTGAATGTTATATGCTAATGATATTGTTCAATTGATAAAAGTAGAGGAGTAATTACTAAATTGCAATTTTGGCTTATAAAAAAAAAAGGTACTAAATTGCAATTTTGGAAGAAGGCTCTATTAGAACTAAGAGGGTTTAAGTTAGTAGGAATTAAACTGAATATACTGAGTGTAACTTTAGTATATAGAACAATTTGGGTTGCAGTAGAGATACACCAAAAATAAAACCTTTTTGCTATTTTGGCAGATATTGGAGATGATGCTACTTATAGAATCAACATGGGATAGGTTAAATAGAGGAGTGCGTCTAGCATTATTTTGTGTGATCAGCGTATTCCTTTAAGATTGAGATGGAAGTTCTATAAAATTGCTTATTAGACCAATATTTTTATGAAACAGAATGTTGGGCAGCTGAGGAAATATATATGCATAAAGTGAGTATGACGGAGATGTGGTTATTGGGATGGATATGAGGCAAGGCAAAAAGGATAAATTAGAAATGGACATGTTCTCTAGACTAGCTGGTTGAAAGTGACATCATTTGGAGATAAAATGAGAAAGTCGACTAATATAGTTTGGATACTTGCTCCTCGATATATGACTTTTTTGTTCTATTGGACTCTGTTGGTCCATAGGTTTGGCTTTTGCTCTTTCGTTTTTGTGTATTAGGGACGCGTTCCCCTTTTGAACGTCTTTCTAATATATTTTTACTTATAAAAAAAAAATAAAAAGAAACTAAAAAATATAAAGAAAATTACCTAAAATTAAAATCCCTCTAAAAATTATAAAATAAAAATAAAAAAGAAAGCTAATTAATTAAATTACTGAATGCGATAGAAAACTGTCCTTTCGCATCACATGTGGTTTGATTGAAGTTATGACCTCAGATAGAGCAAAATGAAAAAATAAACATTAACTAGTTGGGAAAAAGGTTTTGTTGACTTAAATTGAGTAGAATTGGGCACTATATTTGAAGAGTTCGAGTTTCTTGATCACAATCCCACCCTTACTTACTACTTATCAAAAAAATAAAAATAAAATCTCACCCTTACTTACCACCAATTCTGAACTGTCTTCAATCACGCAATGATTCAAATCCGTAATAGACGAAGCTTCTCTTTTGCCTTCTTATAAAGCATGAATCTTTGCATCAGTAATAAAACTAGTACCAATCAATATAGCATGGACAAGGACAGTATATTTCCATCATCATCTTTCAAAATTTTCGAACTCCAAACAGTCCCAATTTTCCACGATAATCCCCGTCCTGTGTAGTGAAAGGCGCACCTAGGCTCCAGGCTCATACATGCGCAAGACTAGCGCCTGTTGTTTGGCCAGGTGCGCCTTTGACAACATTTGTGCTTTTAATATGGAATTTTAATTCTTTAGTAGTAATTTAATTTTTCCCTTGTGCGCCTCACTTGACTCAAGCGCGCGACTCACCTTTCGCCTAGGCTCTAGAGGACCTCTTGCGCCTTGGGTCTTTGATAGCACTGCCCTGTCAAACTTAAGCTTGACTTTTCATTTCGGTGGCCTTCAAATGTTATTAGCAGCTTGCGATGCAAGCAAGTCGAACACACTGCTTTCTAATTACCTAATGTCAAGAATATAGAGACACTCCTTTCAGTTATTCCATAAGGAATGCCAAAATAGAAGACAGCTGAACTCTTAACCAAATATCCTCACGTGAAAATCCTTACCATTAAAGATAGAATCATTGAATTCCTCTCATTCCATAGCACTCAAATCATACCTAGGAACCTAGAATAGCACATTGCCATAAGGTTTTAGTTCTCTCTCCCCTTCCAAAGCCTCCAAAGTGTATCTCAAGAAAACTTATCAAAAAAAAAAAAAGTGTATCTCAACAAAAGATCAAATATCTAAGAGTGCAGCACCACTAATACCTGCTAGAGCAAATAATATTTTCTAAAGGTCATAGGAGATATTGTTGTGCACAGACAGTTGGCTGAAGGTTGCATTATTCCATTTCTCACAAAACAGATATGTGAGCTAAGGTTATAGTTAAGGCTTTAGTCAGAAGCTTCTGTTTGTAATTAATATTCTTTTGGGCATAGACAAAGCCAATGCCTTGACTTTACAACAAACCTTGGGTATTTGAATATTATTAGCCACTTTTAAAAGGAAATGATTTAATGACTTTTGAAGGGAGAAAATGAAGGATTTAGTAAAAAACGAGTCTTTTGGATCCAAGCAACATCTCTCATCCTTACTATAAGAGGAGACAAACTTCTTGTAAAAGAAGCAAATAGAAGAGACCTCATAAGAGAGATCCCAAAACTTCAAGGGCTAAGGGCAATCCTTTGGAGTGTTTATGTTAATGCTTTTTGTTTATGAATTGATTGTTTATAGTCATGCATATTCTAGGGTTTGTTTTTGAAAGTTTGAGTCCTCATTTTAGTGATTATTACTTTTTCAGTCTGCTAACTTATCGGGTATATATCTGATCTAGGTCTGTTTATGGAAGTACTAGGAATTTGTGATGGTGGGTTTGTGAACGTTTTTTGTCCCTGAAATTGTTCTCCGTACCATGTTACCCAATTTTTTTGTTTATGATTTAATGAGAGGTTTTTTTGCCATCTAGACTCCACATTTTTGCTTTTATATTTACGACAGGGATTGGCTAAGAATTGGTTCTTTTGAGTAACCTACTGAAGTATGGTTGTAGTGTAGCACCAAAACTGCTTTCATAGCATCCAAAAGGGTGGAATAGGTTTAGGGGTTCGATTCTTATTTTATCGAGAAATTAAGCATATGAGCAGTCCATTATTTGACATTTTTTAACTGCATGTTTAAGGCCATAAGGCATTGCTCAATTGCTAACCTAGATGTTTGCACCTTCATTGTTCCTGCTGATCAATTAAACCTCGTAAAGGAAGTATTTTGATATACTGGCTGAACCTAGTGAGATACGAAAATTACCCTTTATCCAGTACATGTGTCAAACCAATCTAACTCAACTCCCACGTAACAGCCCTGTTTGTGAGAGTTATCCATGCTAGTGTAATGCAATCGGCATTTATCATCAGTTATAAATCTTGAGGCCTTCTTTGTATCTGGATCACAAATTTCACCATCTTTAGCTAAAGTGGACACTATGCATAATGCCACTTAATTGATATTTTCATTAGGCTTGTTAACCTGGAACTTATTTTTTGATCAGAAGAAGATCTCACTTCTCAGGAATTGTTTTGTGAGCTTGGGACATTCAGTAGGAGTGGCATGTGCAGGACTGGGAGATGGAGTAGCTCATCACATTGTTGTATTGGGAAGGGAGAGGGGGATGATGAGTGGTGGTGGTTCGGAATGCCGCATGGAGGATTCAAAGTTAGATCTTTCACCAGAGGTGTGTGGAGCCATGGGTGCATTCCTTTCCTTGGAGGCTATTTGGCGCCAGGGCTCCTCTTAAGATGGCCTTTTTTGGCTGGACGGTGGCTTTGGGTAGGATATTGACAATTGATAACCTTCGGAAGGGGCTCCTTTTTGTGGTGAACTGGTGTTGCATGTACAAGAGAGATATGGAGTGGGTGGACCATCTTCTCTTGCATTACCAGGTGGCTAGAGATGTTTGGGCTATGTTTTTTTGCCATGTTTGGTGTTCAGTGGTTCTCGCTGGAGTCTACGAGGAGTATACTCAAGGCTTGGAGAGGGTGTATAGTGTGTGGGCAGGCCTGAGATGCTTGTAGAGCCACTTCCCTTGCTTCTATTTAGGCCCTTAAATATTACATTTTTAGGAGTCTATTATTATGCGTTAGAGGACATCATTGTAAATCCATGGAGGACGTAGTAGAATTTTTGGATAGCTTGAGAGCTTCAAAGTTTTATACCTTTTGGAAGTTGTACATGGTCACGCTCCCTGTTTGAGCACTCTTCTAATATTCTTATCCAAAAAAATGTTTTGTGAACTTACTGAAGAGGATTTTCATACAATAATGCGCAACTTTTCAGTATGACTGGAGTTTTTGCTAAACTTCATCTTCTTTGAATAGAACCCACATTATCTAGAAGTACCACTTCAAGAAATGTTTTTGGCTTGGTTTTATTTTGGAAGGAGATTGCAGGTTTCATGTTATGCTGAGCTATAGAAGAGGCTAGCAATATGGAAATTGTGTTAACTTCCCAGTACTTGGGTAAGACCAATTTTCTAGTTCCCCATTCCTGATAGCTTTTGGCTAGAGTTTTCACTTTTGGAACTTACACATTTTTATACAAGTTATTCAAAGTACCTAGGAGGGGATTAACCTTCTGTTTTTATCCACTCATGGTGGTAAAAATGTAAAATCCCAATTATTTACTTTAATATTTGTATGAACATTTGCAGAAAAGTAGGCATGGATTTGTTGGAGTGTGTTAAATTGATGCTTTACAAAAGGAAAAAAGAATCTTGAGGAGCTAATGATGATGTCTTATAGAAGCCTTGTCGTATAAGATGCAGTAATGTGCAGAGGGTGAATTCAGGATTCTTTGTTTTTTTTCTGGCTCAGTCAATTCTTAATGATTTTCTTTGTGAGTTTGTTAGAACAAACTCTCTTACATATGTAAATTTAAAAACTAGTGTGGAAATACTAGAGTTCCTGCCAAACTTCTGAGATTGTGAGGTTTCCTTCAAGGGATCCATTGGCTAAATTAAATATGAAGCTATTGTGATGGACTGCGATTCAAGTGCTGTTAAACCCCATCTTGATCAGGACAACCTTAATGAGTGGCTGCGATTGACGTAAGCGGAAGCGAGATAAACGTTCACAAAGGAACGAGGGTTACCTTGAATCCACAAGGAAGAAAAAGAATTCGCAGAGGAATTTGATAATATATTAATAATTGAATGATTAATTTGCTTTGTAGTACATGTATTTATAAATAAAAACTCTAACAACATAAAGGAAACCCTAAAAACGTAAGGAAACTGCTCAAAAACAAACTTGCTCTGAAAATTCTGTAAAAATAAGAAAATAAACTTAATTACTAAAAACTGCTAAATACCAGAAAGGAAAGCATATCAAATTCGTTTAGTCTTGTAACGAAAATTCAAAAATATTCAAAATTGGGAAAACGCAATTCTACAACCTTAAAACCATAGTTGTTAAAAGCCCAAGGCGCTAAAGGTCCCTTGGAGCCTAGGCGCGAGGCGCACGGCGAGGCCAAGGCACGAGCCTGAGTGATGTGAGGCGCACAAGTAAAATTTTAAAACAATAATTCTTAGCAAAAATAACACAATTAAACAATGAACATCCAATAATAAAAACACTAAATTAGTCTAAATATATCACAATTAAACCAATAAAGCCACCAGTAAAATAGAACAATTAAACTAATAAAGCTATTTAGTCATAAGAAAGATTCAAAAGAAGCAAAACATAAGCCAATGAACCATATATTATAAATTTATACTTGATGTCTTAAGCAAAAGCTATCATTTGACTCCAAAACAGATTCATCAAAAGATACTTAGTAGCCTACCAAATCTATAAAGTATCATAGTCAATACTTAACTTAGTAGCCTACCAAATCTATAAACCAAGCAACAAAATATTAGTTTTAGTTTTGAGTTTTGACAAGGACTCCTAAAACCAAAGTTACCAAACAATGTTAAGGGACCTAAATATCATCCTCTTCACCAAACAACATAGTCTCATCATCGTCCCCATCAAAAGAATTGTAACCCTCAGCATCTTCTTCCTCTTCTGTCTCCTCAGAGTTTGCCTCGTCATCATCTATGATTCGTAGTGAAGACGAGCATGAGGTGTTGTCCTCTTGTTGCCCTTGGAGCTGATCTTGATCTTAAATTATGGCTGGACTCTCTAACCCCGGTAGCTCTAGCAACTGCACCCCATGTTAAAGAGTCATCTTCAAACACCAACTCATTTTCAGCATCGACATCTTCATCCATTACTCCAACCAACCACTCATTGCTATCATCTATATCATTTAAAAGGATGGGATCGATCCTATCACGCATGTCATATCGTCACTTTAGTGCTCTATTATACTTGATGAAAACCAAATCATTCAATCGACATTGAGTTAGCCGGTTCCTCTTCTTGCTATGAAGCTGCATTAATTCAAATAATTAATAAGTATAAGTGTATAACTGTTTATAATCTAATTTTTTATCATTGAATTACTAATACTACAAACTTACATGTTCAAATACACTCCAATTTCGTTCACACCCAGATGCGCTACATGTGAGGCTAAGCACTTTAATGGCAAACTTTTGCAAATTAGGAGTTGTAGAACCATATGCGGACCACCAATCGGCTGTTATTTACATATTATTAGTAAAAAATTAACAAAATTAAAATTCAAATATACTAAAAAATGATTAATTGACTTGTTTACCTGGTGCCCTTGACTTTCTTTGTCTAATAGCAATTGATGAGCCAAATAGACTATCAGCTTTCGTATATCTACTCAACTCCAAAGAAATTTTATCTTGCACTTCAGTGGTTGGAACCAATCTTTCTATGCATTGATATAAACCACCTATCACCTCTTCATCTTGCTCAATATTTGGATTGCTATAAAAATATTGTGGGTTCAAGAAATGCCCAGCTGCATGCAAAGGGCGATGGAGTTGGATATTCCACCTAGTATCAATGATCTTAAAGATGTCCTTATACTTCTCCTCATTCTCACCAAAAGCTTTAGCTATCGCTTCTTTAGCCCTTTCCATAGCCTCATAAATATATCCCATTGGAGGCCTTCTCTCACCATCAACCAACTTAAGTACACGAACAAGAGGGCTTGCTACTTTGAGAGAGTACACAATGCTTGTCTAAAATTTAGGCATCAACACAATTTGTACTACATTTTTCCCTTCTACCTCTTTCGCCCATTTACTAGAGATCCATTCTTGTGAAGTGAACATCTTCCTCAAGCAATCCTTTTGATGATGGATGCTTGATAACGTGATAAATGAAGTGGCAAATCGAGTCGTTGCAGGTCTAAGCAACTCTTTATGTCCAGTATAACGCCTCATCATGTTCAACAAACCCGAACGGTTATAAATATAACCATTTAACATTATAGCTCTCTTTATGGTCGTCATTATCTTTGGGATCTTAGCAATGTCCTCCAACATCAGGTCCACACAATGTGCAGCACAAGGTGACCAATACAAATGCCGGTGCCTTCCCTCCAACATTCTCCCTATTGTAAAGAAAGAAAATATGGATTAATAGAAGGCTAGAAGTAATAAACCTATCAGTGACTACTTGAATCACATTTGATGCTCCAATTTGCTGCACGAACTTGTTAAGCAAGTCAAACATTTTTTCACCGGTCTTTAAATAAGAGGAAGCATCAATAGATTGAATGAACATTGTCCCTTTAGGACAATTCACCAGAAAATTAATCAAACACCTGTGTCTTTTATCCTCCCATCCAATTGCCATAATTGTGCATCCGTATCTTGCCCATTCCTGTCTATGATCCCGCATTAAATTGTCTGTATGCTCTAGTTCTTTCTTGAGGAGGGGAACTCTCACCTCATGATAAGAAGGAGGTTTCATTCTTGGACCATGTTGGCCAATAGCTTCAACAACTGGTGCAAAACTATCATAATTAAGGGCAGTGCAAAACTATCATAATTAAGGGCATTGAATGATATCATAGCATCATACATCCATCTTGCAAACCGTTGACATGCTCGGTTTCTAAGTTCTTTCTTGCAAGCATTATCAATTGTTGTTTGCTTACCCTTGTCATTTTTTCTATTTTGCACAACTACTTCCGGAGGACGGGTGAAGTACAAATCAATAGGACCTTTCTGCTTTTGCTTTTTTGATTGAATATTATTGCTTCCAGTTCCACTTGCCACTCTTTTACCCTTAACATCAATAATTGTTACATCATTCTCATCTTGATCATCCATGTCATCAAATCCAGGCAACAAATTTGTGTGTTCCTTTTCTTCTTTCTTCTTGCTCATGTATTCTCTAATCTCTTCTTTCACATGTTCAGGGCACTTTTTACATGCTTGTACGTTTCTATATCCCCTTATAATGTGTTGCTTAGCCCTATAAATACCTCCTTTCATAACTTTTTCACAAAAATTACATGTTGTTGCATTCCTATCTTGTGGGTTTTGCAGGTGACAGTAATTCCAACCTGGATCCTTTGACATTTTTTCCTATCTATTTACAATGAGAAATAGAATGGAGTCAATGGACCAAGTTAAATTCAGCAAACAAGCATTCAGCAAACAAGCATTCAGCAAACAAGCATTCAAGCAATTCAGCAATTAGCATTCAGGCACAAACATTCTAAATTTAAATAATGTAGCAAATTCTAGCAAACAGAGCCCATAAAGAAGGAAAAAAAATAGCACATATTTAGTCCATCATAGCACAACAACATTTTTTTTATAAAAAAAAATTGGCATGATCAGCGGCTAGATGAAGGGCATGTATTTAGTCCACAATAGCAGAGCAGCATTTAGGCTAGAGAGAAGACTCAGAAAGGAGGGAAAAAAAATATACAGAGGCCCTACATGAAGAAAAACAGAGACCCAGAAAAAAAATTAAAAAAGCCAAATGAGAGAGAGAAGAGGAGAGGAGAGGAGAGGAGAAGAGAAGAGGAGGAAAAAAAAAAAAAAAAAACCGAGCCCATAAAGAAGAAAAAATGACACCCTAAACAGAGCCTGAAGAAAAAGAAAGAAAACATAGACCCATAAAGAAGAAATAAAAAAAAAAAATCGAGAAAGAAGAAAAGGAGGAGAAAAAAAAAAAAAAAAAAAAAAAAACCAAAAACCAGATGAGAGAGAGAAGAGGAGGAAGAAAAAAAAAATAGAGCCCGAAGAAAAAGAAAGAAAAACAGAGACCCACAAAGAAGGAAATAAAAAAAATAAAAAAAAAAAAAAAACCGAGAAAGAAGAAAAAATGGAGAACCAGAAAAAAAAAAAAAAAACCAGATGAGAGAGAGAAGAGGAGGAGGGAAAAAAAAAAAATAGAGCCGGAAGAAAAAAAAGAAAAATAGAGACCCATAAAGGGGAAAAAAGAAAAAAAAAACCGAGAAAGAAGAAAAAATGGAGAACCAAAAAAAAAACTAGATGAGAGAGATAAGAGGAGAAGAGAAGAGGAGGAGGAAAAAAAAAAAAAAAAAAATAGAGCCGGAAGAAAAAAAAGAAAAACAGAGACCCATAGAGAAGGAAAAAAAAAAAAGATGAGAGAGAGAAGAGGAGAAGAGAAGAGGGGGGAAAAAAAACTTAAATGAAATTACTACTAACCTGGATGGTGGTTTCATCGGAAGGAAGGAGGCAAGACCAGATTCTTCAACTTTTCTTCTCTTCTTTTCTTCTCTTTTCTTTTTTTCTTTCTTTCTCTCTCCTCTTTCCCACTTTTGAGTTTTGACTTTCCCACTTTTGACTTGGGTTAGTGGGCATTCCACGTTTCTTCCTTCTGCAGCTTGATTTGAGATGACAAAATTCTTATTTTTTACTTTTCAAGTTTCCAAAGCTTTTTAAGTTTCCAAAGCAATATATATATATACTAAATATAATAATATAAATAACAAACAATCAAACAAAGAAAATATATGCTGCATAATACATGAGGCGTGCCTATACAAGCTTCAAAGCGTAGCCCAGGCGCGCGCCTAGTGGAGGTCGCTGCGCCTGGGCTATTGTGAGGCGCAACTGTTGCGCCTGGGCTATTGTGAGGCGCCACTGTTGCGCTTGTAGGCGCCTTGAGCCCAGGCGCGCTTTTGACAATCATGCTTAAAATGATTAAATTCGGCTAAAAGGCGCCCGCTGCCAATATTTGTGAGTTGGGCTATTGTGATAAAACTGGGCTCTTTCCGTGTAAAAAACGGATTCGTTAAAATCATTTGATAAAAACTGATCAGCCCGCCTATTTGACGGTCTAAATGGGTTCCAAAATATTTTGCATCAGTCTCCTCCACTTGAAAAGAACTTGCCCTCGAGTTCAACTATGGATAAAGAGACTTGTCACGAGGCTGATACTCAAATAAGTCTACCACATTGAAGGTATTAGAGATGGACATATCATCTGGAAGCTCCACCACATATGCATTATCATTAATGTTCATTTTGATGCGACATGGCCCATATTTTCTGATCATGAGCTTGCTATAAGTTCTAGCCGGAAATCTGCCCTTGCGCAAATACACCATCACAAGATCACCCTCTTCGAACACCTTGACTCGCCTATGCTTGTTTGCAGCATCCATGTACTTGGCATTGGACTGTTCCAAATTTTGCTTGATTTTTGGACCCTTTCAGCCATATTTTCTGCTGCAATGCTCGCTATGGAAGTTTGGGCAATGAGACCAAATCTAGGGCATGCTTCGATGCTTTAGTATAAATAATTGTTGGTCCCACCTTTGAATTAAGGTTTGCCCTTTAAATGTCAAAGTCTATCACAAGTTCACTACATTGAGCTCTAAGTGATTCTGGCATGCACAATGCATATTATTGATCTTCAGGGGCAGCTTGGTCATTCCACATTGTTGAGAAGACTATTCAAATGGTCTAAGAAAGGTACATTGTGTTGAAGACTCACTCTGCAGGCCAATTAGGGTTACAGGCCCTAGCACAAAAATTAATATTTGGCTACAGTGCATTTCAGGGCAATTAAGTCTTGTTAGACACGTATTATATCATAATACACTTGTGTATGATATTACATTGTACTGAATTGCTCTTATTCTCAGTTTGATCAAGTGTTCACAGTCATAGCTGCAAAAGACAGTGTATATTGACAAGTGTTACTACAAGGGCATTTTGGTCAAAGCAAATTGCTGAGCATTCTTGTGACACGTGCCCTATGGTCCTAATGTGAGAATATGTAGGCTATTATTCATTGCTTAGTGATTAAGCTTGATATACATTCATATACATATACATATACATATATAAGTTGTCAATTAGTTTGCTTGCTAGAAGACAATTTCTGTAAAGGTGGCAGGGGTATTATGGTCCATTCACAGAGGGAATTACATATTATTCCGTGGCCAATGATTGGATAATGGTGACAGATATATTTCCTCTTTGAGATAGGATTTGTATTCAATGGCTACTATATATGCTGTTACAGCATTTTCTAGGGTTTTAAGTCCTCTTGAAAAACCCTAAGGCAAGCTACATTGTGTGAGACAAGAGAGCTGTATATGAACACAGATTTATGAGATTGTTTATAATGATCAAAGCTTGATTTGAGCTCAGAAATACATTCAGAGTAAACACAAGAGTAGTATACCAAATGGAGGTTTGTTGTTGTGATTTTGCTGGTGCAGAAGCTGGTTTGGAGGTCTGAGTTTGGTATGAGCTTGTTGTGGTGCTGAGACGAGGTTGAGGCAAGTGTAACTTACTATTTTACATCTGCAAAAAGTATGTTTGTGACCATCTTATAGCTGCCTTTGATTTTGATGTCTCAGGCCTGAGTTTTAGCCTTTTTACTGGTTTAGTTTGTTGATCTAAACTTAATATCACTATATCTTGCTATGAGTTGCATTGTTATCATCTGAGTAAGATTCCATAGTTGAATCAAGGTTGTTGAAGTTGAGGTTTGCACAAAAATAAGGTCAACACATGTGAAACCCTAGTTCTTGAAGGTTTTACAGGATATGAGTTTATATCAGGGTTGTAATTGTTTATACGTGCTGTATTCATCTTGATCATCATCTGAGCATGTCTGTATTGAAGATATAAGGTTGTGGAATTCATTTATGAGTTGTGAGACACGAATTTCCTATTTTACCCTTCAAACCTTAGTTGTAAGCATAGTGCACTTAGTGGTGCTAGTGTGTGTAGAGGCTATGAAAGCTAGTGTTTCATCGTGTACAAGGGTGTGTGCAGAGAGTAAGACAGCTGAGTGTGTAACTACTTGCATACAACTAGTGGAGATTTTATTGGCCGAGGCCAAGAACCAAAGTTTTTCCCTATTGAGAGGGTTTTCCTTGTAAATGCACCAAGTACTTATAAGTGTGTGTAAGCTTCTTGAATCTGTCATCATCCTTGTCATATTGTATTGATCAAAGAAAGAAAGAGAAGTTATAGAAGAACCAATTCAACCACCCCCCCCCCCCCCCCCCCCCCCCCCCCCCTCATCAATAATCTCAAACAGCTTCTTTCTAATGGACCGGTTAATCATGCTGTTAAAAGCAAACTCAATATGAGGAAGAGCAGAATCCCACCGTTTTGGCTTATCACCTGAAATATATCGAATCATGTTTCCTTGCGTTCTGTTCACTACTTCTGTCTGACCATCTGTTTGCTGATGACTAGTGCTGCTGTATTTTAGGGAGGTATCAAATTTCTTCCATAAAGTCCTCCAAAAATGACTAAGGAACTTGACATCACGATCTGAAGTAAGAGACTTCGGGACTCCATGTAAATGCACAATTTCTCGAAAGAACAGATTAGCCACGTGTGTGACATCTGAGTTTTTCCGACATGGAATAAAGTGCGCCATCTTTGAAAACCTGTTAACAACCACAAAAACAAAATCCATACCTCTCTGAGTCCGAGGAAGCCCAAATACAAAATCCATAGTTAAATCCTCCTAAATGTTTTCTGGCACGGGGAGTGGAGTATATAGCCCAGTATTCTGCGTCTGGCCCTTGGCTGTTTGGCACACTGGACACCTCTGCACAAACTTACCAACATCGCGTTTCAACTGTGGCTAATAGTAACGCTCTTCTGCTAGCGCAACTGTTTTAGCTCGACCTAAATGTCCACCCAAACCGCTACTATGCAGCTCGCAAATGATTTGTTCTCGCAATGATGACCTCGGGATACAAAGCCGACTGCCACGAAACAAATAACCATCCTGAATATGAAAATTTGCTGCAGGTTGCCGTGAACTGCACTTGGCCCAATTTGCTTGAAAATCTTCATCAGTCTCATAAAATTCCTTTAGACAATCAAAACCAACAACTTCAGCACTCAAAGTTATCAACAATGTTGCCTGACGACCCAATGCATCAACAACTTTATTCTGCTGCCCTGATTTATGTTTCAGCATGAAGCTAAACTTATACAAAAAACATGCATACGGTTTAAACTGTTCTGCGTGTTAATAAATTTCAGCGCTTGGTGATCACTGTAAATCAAGAACTCCCTCTGAATCAAATAGTGCTCCCAGTGTTTCAAAGATTGGATCACAA